AAAAGCATGTTCCAGCCTGGCTGATTTCATAATGTACGTTTTTCACTGCTTGGTTGATGGAGGGCTCTTACTCTAAAGCAACAGCAGGAAGTGTTCAGCAAAATATATGCTAGGTATGGTTTTAAAGCACATCACCATTCTTCAGTAGTATGGTTGGTAAAAAAGAAAACAGGAATGTTTACATGTTTTTTAATGCAATATTTCAATACTGAATCAATGTAGCAGAGTGTTGCTACAAAACCTCTGTGAGCTCAACATAATAGACCTCCATCTCCAAAGCAGTTTGGTCTTGTTTGCCTGCTGTGAAGGTGCCATGCAAATGCACAGTTACATTGGAAAATTGATATAATTATAGAACCTTGATTAGGCCAATTCATGCTATTTCAAAAATACTTTAATGTAGCTGTAATGTAGACACTCATCACAGGTTTGTAGAAACATGACTGATATATCAAATATTGGATGTTGTACGATGAATAAATGCACAAAAAGATTTATGTAGTCAGAACTATATTCGACCCTATGGCGGAGGACGACTATTCATCACTATGATCGCTCACGTGCACCAACACTCTTACTTTCCAGAAATGAAGTTCAAATGAAACAATCAGCAGCAGCTTTAGTCAAATGTTTTTTCTGACTCCAGCAGACAGCCTTGTGGCTGCCATTGGCTTGATTAACCACTGCTGATGGAGAACAGAGTCTGGGTTCACTGCCATCAGAGGCAAACCTCACATCAGAATGGCAAGCAGCAATTTCATCAGTGTTGCAAACGCTGTCATCACAATTGGCCACATATCTGTGGGCTACATGCTACTCACTGGCTCTAAATGAAATTCCAAACAGCAAATTAACCAGAAATGTGAGTGTGCTGCATGAATTATAGGGAATCTCAACTTGCCAGTTGTCATGTTTGGTAGACTGAAGTTTAATGACTAGGTACCTACCGTATGTGTTATTCAAGATACATGAGATTTTTCTAAGCCCCACTTCGGCTCAAAGGGTTACTTAATTCTCCAATACATTGACAACTATTGGTCAGATTTCCATTAAATGTGGTTCAAATTGGGGTTGGATCAATTCTAATACCTGGGTTATACTTAGATCTCTGTATCTAGCATGCATTATTAGAAACATTTTCCAATCCTTTCAACAACAAAAAAAGGACCCAAGTAATGATCGTCACAGCCTCATGGATCTAGACAGGTTTTGTTCTTTCAGTACACATGCACACTTGGACCCACCACCTCTTTTTTGCCCCTCGTCTGGAGTGTGCTCTACTCTTTCCAGGGAAAACAGACTGATGGCTTAACTCTGCGGCATTGGTCCAGCAACTCAGGCCCAAGCCAGGATGCAAGGGCAAAGTCTTACAATATGGCTGCCAGTAATCTTTGTCTCCTCTCTCTTTCGTTCATCAGCCTCTCTGCCACTCTACCCTTTGAGGTTGCACATGTTTTTGGAAACTGGATTTATTATGTTGAATTGCTGTACAAAGGCCCCAAAGTCCTGTCATCCCAGTACACTGGCACCCACTTGTCACCCAGATCCTGGGCAACAGGCTTCTCCCTCTGACGGGTAGATCCACAGGACACATGGTTTTATATACTGCACCATTTTTGCTAGTCCTTAATCCAGCCAGATGGATTTGCTCAAAATGCCAGACCACCGTCAGGCCGTCTGCTCTCAAGTGTTGATGGCTCAGGCAGCTCCAATCGCTTACTTAATCAACAGAGAGTGTGTTTTTATTAATGAATTCATCCAGCCTCCTCTGAGTCTGCTTTATTTCTCAGTCTCCCAGATGCAGGCAATTGCTCAGACTCCATTTAGGTTAGACAGAGAAGCAAATTACAACCCTAAGAGTTGGTCGTTAGCAATTCTTTGTATAAGGTGTTGATTATGCACTTAAAACTAAAGTATCAACATTTGTACCCTATTGTTGTAGCCAGTCATGTAAAGAGCATTCTAGGTATTTTAAAAGCTATTCAGGGTAAAGTGGAGTAATTTGTCCATTAGCAGAAATGAGTACTCCTCCAAAGATTGTTTTTAAAGGCATAAATTATCACTTGCGCTTTTACTTTCCAAGCTAACAACTTTAATTGTTGACCCGGATATTAGAATCAGTCCCTCTAGTTTTCACTTTCCATATTCAGTGACAAAGTGAGTCTCTCCAGACTATTACTTTAGCTTTTTTTATTGTGTGAATATTATGTAGCACATACTATTGTGCTCCAATTTAACAAAGTTGAAACGGCAACCGCTTGGGAAACCTCCTGAGATACATGACCACTTCCATCCACTTTAAGCAATTCTGGCTGCTCAATATATTCTGTAACCTCACAGTGTTTGAGGACACTGAGGTTTCACAATAAGACAAAACAAAGAATATCGCCCAGTACGGTATGTCGTTGGCGTTGTGATTCTGTTGTGGGTACATTCGTATATGAAGGAATCAGATTTTATTTATCAAAAACAAACCGTAAATCAATTGCGCAGTATTTATAATGACCATGTTTACCTTTTTTCACACTCTATTCCATGTACCAATCCTATTTTATTTGGTTAGGCTTATTTTTTGTGGTCCAACAAGCCTTTTGATGAATAATCCCTCTTGAAGGAGAAAATGCCTTTCAATGGGGGCCAGTTAAGGCAGCAGATAGCTTACTTGCATGGGATTCCGTTGAGGTTATAAGTAACCTTTTAACATAATCTTTGTGTGGTTTAAGCGCTTAATCTTTTTAAACAGGCATGTTTTCAGCAGGAATTGTACTTGTCATATTCACAGTTACACATGGGAACTGCATTGCACAACTTGTTTTGTACTCTGGAGTATAAATGCCTCCCTCAAGGCCCTACAGCAATAAATGCTAAAGGACTAAGTTGTGAGTCCTAATATTTTTCAACAGATTCTGGTATTTAAAGCAGGCGTCCTCTACAGTTGATGCTTCTGTTTTGACTTTTTTTATGCTGCTCTCTCCTCTTTTTTCCCCGACAATTAATGATGGCACTTATCCCAGGTATGCACTGTGGCCTTGCCTGAAATGATTGCGTGCATCTTTGGGCAAGCCCCTTTTCCACTGAAAGACATAGTTTCCATTTGCTGTAATGACAGAATAATGGCATCACACCTGGTGCTCCACCCTCATTTGCTTGCACGTACAAACACATGCACACCTGTACACGTAGACACACACCGTTGCGCTGAAGGAGAAAGTTGGCCGAAATTGGGAAAACATAAATTCCTCTGACTAAGGTGTTGTACGTCTACAGTTGCGTAGGGAACCCCCTCAAAGCTCATTGTTGTCACTCAAATTGCCTGCTGCAGCCTTCCCTCACAGCCAAGTGGAAACTCATAACCACCTTTCATTGGGTGTCCTGCCAGTTCTGTTCATACTTATTTTCTTTTGAACTCCTCCTACCCATCCTGTTTCTGTTTGAAGGAAGCACAACATGCCTCATGTTGTACAATGCTACCATCTGGATCCACAATAAAACCTCACCAGCACCAGAACCATGCCTGCTGTCAAAACACACGTGGGGTCGACAAGAGTGGCACATTGCCAGTGATTATGGATTTCCTTAGAATATTTACTTTATGTCTTCACATTTTCTTTTTATTCATTTGAACAGCAATATGCTGCTAGTCCATTGCACATAAAGTCTATATGTGTTCAGATGTTGACCCATTCTTTGACCGAGCTAATGAACATGGGTTTTTAAACGAGGCTCTTGTTGCAAAAACAAACAAACACTAATATTACATGAATATAGAATACATATTATTCAGGTCAAAATGTGTGCCCTTTACGCTGAAATATCCACCTAATTGTTAAATAGAATGCCATTTCTATTCATATATATATATAACAGAAAACAACGAATCTATACAAGTGAGAAACTGGAGGCAGATGATTGACTCATTGATTTGTGGGTGGGATAGGATTAAAGGCTTTCATATAGCAGGTGTGGATTTTCTTTCTCAAACAAGGTTTATTTTTATGAGGTTTCGCCCTGACAATCACATTGTGAAGGACAGGTTGAATTGTGTCTCTTTTTGTAAGGATTATCAAACAACAACAAACTGTATGATTCATTTGAACCTTCTCAAGGCAGTGCAAACCCAAATATACTCCTTCCGTGCTAATATGAAATGCTAAAATACCCAACGTTACATGCTAACTGCTCATTTGTTTTAATAATATTTATTACCAAATACTTGTTTTTAGATGAGTCAAAATACAGAAATCTTCATATTACAGATATCAAAAGAAACCTCAGATTTGAGCTCTGAATCTTTCTTGGTGAGCCCTAATAACAAGGTCTACCTTATGTGCCTTACAATTATGCTTTGGGTCGTGTGTTTCATGGTCATCCATCAAGGCCTCTGTCCTACAACTCTGATGGAGAATGGGTTGATGAATCAGCTCCACCCTTTATATGGCATATACTGTGGTCTTGGTCATCGAGCGTCTTTGCTCTGGATTGTTGGTAAACTAGATTTATTGGTGCTACTTTTTATGTTTTGTTGAGTTTATCCACATAAAAAGAATGTTTCTCTTTCAGTTCAGATTCATTTTAATGTTCCGAAATGGTGGATAGACAATAAAAGAAAAAGAATCTAAACGACTGGTAATTACTAGTACTAACATTATTGTTATATTATTAAATATTTAGTGCTGAATTACATCTTGTATTTCATATCTTCCAAACTGTTTGATATATTAAGTTTTGATGGTTATTCTGACATCCCTATGACATTAGTAGGTCAAAACAGAGCAGCTGTTTACGGGATAAATGTTTGGTTGCAGAGCACGCCCAGCAACCCAAAAACCCCAACCACGTTTAAGAGTTACTGCCCAGTCTATTACCCCAGAAAGAGTGATCATTATGTGATATCCAACAGCTGGTGTCCTAGTATTGAGTGTATATATCAAGGTCTCCATGGTGACTGGTTTATTCATTTACACGCACTCAGTCACACAGATGGACAAGATTTTGGAAGCAGCCAGGCATATTGTCTTGGACAGATCACGGCTGAGTCCTCTCTATCCTCTGAATTTAAACAAGGGCATTTGTGAAGAGTGCTGGTGACCTCATCTGACTGTGAACAAAAAAGCATCAAGCACATTGTTTTTGATAAGCTGGAAATACAAACTAAATATGACTTTGCCTTTGTGTTATTTAGAGAGAAAATGTTCCTGTGGCATCTGAAGCTCATATTTCCACAGAGCAGCACCGAGTTCAGTCAGAAAAGGTGAGTTACAAAACAATATTACATTTCCCAAAATGTATACCTCTTAAAAAACAGATGATCAAAATTGCTTTGATAATCAAAATGCAGGTGTGTTGCTTTATGTATTGTTTTAGAAGTTCAGTGGACCATGAAGGTGCATATTCTGCGATCCAGCAATAGTTACTATTCAGATTTATACGATTTGTAAAAGCTAAACAGAGATGTTATCTTTTTTTGTTTTAGGGTGTCCGACAGGCAAACCTTGGAGCAGATCTTGACGCCTTATGTCCACCCTACAGAGTCGGACCCTGTCACACGTCAAAAGTGAGCATTTTTACATTAATACTTACATTTCCTATATTTTTTATCTTTCCCACAAAGATAATTTTTTTTTACAACAATTCGGACACTTAATCCCAGGTTCCCAGTATCAACGGAATTATTCGGAATATCAATTGTATAATAGTTCTTATTTATTTTCCAAAATATAAAAGGTGTTACCCTCTGTGTGGCACTGATTAAGAAGATATGTGTGAACCAACGTGTTGCTGTACTTCAGATAACTTCTTAACTAATAGCGGAGACATTTACTAACTACTTAGGTTTCGGAAAATGTCATTGTCATTGATATAGATGATATAGATATTGATGATTTATGATACTACGTCGTTACAGGACAGGCTGACCATCACTTTCTTGTCAAATACATGCAACATGCTCAGTGGAAACTGTATGTTTATGGGTGTTGGGGTAGGGTACAGACCTAACAATCAGCCGTGAGCTGCTCTATGCATCATATGTGTTTGTGAGCTGTTATTAATCCACCCAGCTTGGAAACTTCTTTCATGTCTCAAAGTGTCTTTGTTTTATGGCAGAGTGTGGCCAAGCAGCCAATTTACATTAATGATGTTTGGGGATAGTGTTAGGGAGAGGTCTGCTGAAGCTTTTCCCACACTTGGGACCTTTTGTCCGCTGAAAATTAAGCTTTGTACAAATTGTCAATAAAGCCAAGGACATCATATAAACTAGGCACTTTCACACCGCAGTACTTTTCCCAGAAAAGTTCATCAGAACTTAGTTCATGAGAACTCTCTAGTTCTCATGTGTGTGAACGCAACATTTCGGAACTATATCGGAACTTAAGTGGGAAAAGTACTGCGGTGTAAAAGCGCCTAAAGTGTGTAGCTTGTTGGCTGGGATGATGCGGAGGACAGGAAAAGAGGGAAACATATGGCCTGCTGTGATGACCCCTAACAGGAGCGACCGGAAGAACATGTTGTCATGTCTGTTGAGTAATACTCAGTTGGCATATCCCTTATAAGGTGAGAAGTTTAGTCATCCGGGAGGGACTCGGGAATAGAGCCGCTGCTCCTTTGGGTCAAAAGGAGCCAGTTGAGATGGTCCAGGCCCCTAGTAAGAATGCCCCCTCCCTATCGGGGTGTTTCATGCATGTCCAGCTGGGAGGAGACTGAGGGGCTGACCCAGGACCAGGTGGAGGGATTGTATCTCCACTTTGGCCAGGGGGCGCCTTCGAATTCCAAATTCAGAGCTGGTTGAACATTTTCAAACTGCTTTAAAAGTAGTTGAAAATGGACAGATGGAGTTAATTTATTGTCATCAACTTCAGTTCCTGATAAGACAAGTCATAATCCTTAGATTAATGTGCAGTATTTAGCGGAATAAGTCCACTATTCAGTTGTTTTGGTTAAGTAACTGAACTCGAGAATAGAAGTATAAAAGTGAACAAAGTGATAACAGACCTAGAAGTCAGCACCAGTTTGATTTATTATTTGTGTAACCTCTCAGTTTGACAGTAATGACTGCTTCTCAGCTCATTGTTCTCTTGAAAGTTCAAATGAGCAGTTTTGCTATTGGCAACAACTGTGGAGCTGTGTTCAGTTACAAGTCCAATGTTCATAACAAGTGGGAATGTGACTGGGGAAAACTAAGCTAATTGAATTGCTAACAATAATTGCTGTTGAAATGCAGATACAGTATCAGCACTATTGCAGCAGCTTAACACCAGTGTGACGCAGTTACATTCATACGCTATTGCATCGTATCGTCCTGGGAACATTACATAGCATAGGAGTTTTGTGTATTGTCGTAAACTGTGTCGTCAAGATGCTGGCTGAAAACCACTGCTGCATACAGAAATCAGTTGTTAAAAAACAATAATTGTATTTACTCTAAATTCTCACCATTATGTATTTAGAAATATGGGCAGTTTGTAACCATGACTGCAGCTTTGGTTTTTGATGGCCTTTATCAGACCAGAGACCCTGTCATTGAGTTTGGCAGCGGGGCTGAGGGATTTTGCCTCAGTTGCATACTGAGTACAAATGGGTCTGCACGCAAGAGCTCTTTACAGATTCATATTCACATCACTACTAAGTCTTTCTTAAATCACTTTTTCAATTTGAAAAAACATATTTACGTATGATTGTATTCAACTTTAATGAGAATATTTCTAACAAAGCAGATGAATAAGCTGCTTTTGAATGGATTGAATTTATTCAAACGAGGAAGAGAAATATATTTTGAATTCACAAAAACAGTTTTTAAAGGTGAATGTCTATCCTGATATTCAATATCAAGCCATTCATTCCAGTTTGTGTTTCCCTGTGTTCTGTCTAATTCCCAGAGTCTTACTTTCCTCCATTTATCTTTGGAATTTTGCCCCCGCAAGTCCGGTTTCTTGATTTCTAAACATTCAATATTTCCTATCCTTACCTCTAACAAAAGAGTGCTATGACTCATCTGACCTGACCTTCGCACTGACAACTGTCAGCAGTAAGCAGTCTACTGTAAAACCTACAGTCAGAGCATAATGCAGACTGTAATATGTCTTTAACACCTAACTTGGTCCAATGCCAACCATTTAGACACAACCTCTACTTAGTCTGGATTCAAGTGGGGTTTAACTCTCTACGGCCCATCAGCTGGCTGTTTACAGCAGGCTCAGGTGCCGTAAGTTACATGGACTTTCCGTTTCACAAAAAACCTCAGTCGGAACATATCCATATGTCGATCAGTATACCAGACAAGTGTATATTTGGGTCTCTCCTGTGCTACACTCAATGAACTGTTTGTGTGTTGACCTTTTTTTCTATCAAGCTTAGGACATTCTAAAAAGTCAATGTCCCAGTGTTTTTAATTGTCTTTATTCAAAAAATATTGTTATGATTGAGTTGAGTCTGTAACGTCCTGTGTTGATTCAAATGTCTGTTTCAGGTTGAAGATGTATGTGCAAACTCCGCATGATCAGGTCAAAATCTTCATGAAAGCAGAGGGGAGAAAGGCCAACTCTGTGAGGTGAGAGTTACTTTTTATTTGTCATCCTTTTCATTTTTATTATCAATATAAGGTAGTCTAACTTTTCGTATGCAGACAGAAGGTATATTTTTAGTTTTAAACCAGGACCTGTGCTTACAGACAACCAAAACAATTGGGATTGGTTTTAACAAAAGCAAACAAGTCAGAGTTTCCCCCCCGAGGGTTACATTGTAGGTGCTGAATCATTTTTGTTATTCACTCTTCATCTTGACTTTTACTGGATTTATGGGCCAAGAAATCTGATGACACGACATCAGATGATATTTATTTTCTATCTATATCTAACAATATCGCAAATATAAACAACAAATTCAACACTCCTCTAATTGTGTTTATTGGGGTACTTAATAAACCAACGACTTGACTTACAATATTTATTTAATAATATTTCTATTTATTTAAGAATTATCTTATCGCTTTTGATAAAGTGATCAATCAGAATCAAGTAATCAACTAAGCCGTTATTAATGATATTTCATAATCCGTTCATTGCTCCACCACCCGGGCTTTGTTACCGTTTGATTCCACTGTCATGACCGACATATGAATGTATGAAATCGAAATAATTTGTATATGAATATTACATCACTGTCTTGTAAATTCCTGCGAGGCTTCACAGACTTTTGGCATGGAGGCTTTAGGAGGGTTTTCTCCTCCCCTTTTGACTTTATTTCCAACATCGAATACGCCATTGATCAAGAAAATACTACTTTAATCCTCCTCTTCAGCTCTCCATCATCCCTCTTACTCACTTTATGTTTCCATATTCCCTTTCCGATGTGCTTTCACTTCCCGCCCCATCTGTCAGTCTCTTTTGAATGGGGGTCAGGGGGTGGTGTTGATAGCACCCATTTGCCTCGCCTGCTTTCAGATACTTTGGCTGTCCTCCACTTCTACTTAGTAATGGAGTGAATGATGATCCTCGGAGCTCATAATCATTGCCCCGTCATGAAACCTCCCATCCCATCCTTCATCCCTTCAACACACACACACACATACACACACACGCATGCACGCACACACTCACACACACACACACACACACACACACACACACACACACACACACACACACACACACACACACACACACACACACACACACAGCTTTTGTTGTTCCCAGTTGGCTGGGCTGCGCACGCAGCATATAGACAGGAATGAATGAAAGACAAGTGTAGAGTTGTGACGTGCAAGCCAAGATTTCATCACTTACAGCACCCACCGTACAGGGCAAATTAAACTTGTAACCGGGGTGAAAATGGTGTTACATTTACTTAATTATGAATGTTGTTACATCAAGGCCGAATATTTGGATGAGCGCCAACGGTCAAAAATGTTTTTTCCCTCCGAGAGCTACCAGCGCAGCGTCCCCCAGATCTGGCGCCCTAGGCGACTGCCTGTGTCGCCTATGCCAGTAACACAAATACTACAAATCCACATAACAAACAATCAAAAATGAATATATTATTATTTTAAGAAAAAAAAAAAAAAGTAAAGAACATTTTTTTTTCTTTTTTCTTTTTGGGTACCTGGCTGGCGCCCCCTAGCAGCAGCGCTCATATTTCAGCAGTGGCAATGCGCCGCCACTATTTGTATATAGGGGAAACACTGGTCTTTCTTGTACCAATCATGGTCTGTATCCTTATTCCTTACATACAAAAAGTTGGACTTTGTTGTGCCTTCAATAAGAGTTTAGTGAAATTAATTATTTGACCGCATGACTCAAAGCTTTATGACAACTTTTTAATTTACAAACAACAAATTATAGAAGATGATGGAGTTTTGATAAAGTGTTTCTAAATAGAATCAAAGAGTGAGTGGACTTGCAAACTGTTTATTGTTAGTCACATTTACAGGGTATGAATGTGATGTCATCCTACTAGATCATCATGGTCTCTGCTCACACATCTGAAAACATGCAGTCAGCATCTGCTTTTGTTCTGCTATGAGAACGCATATATAACTCCATAAAAGCTGTTTTGCAAATTGACTGCAAAGATCAAATTAGTTTTTAATGGATGCTATTTAAAGAAAAGTGAAGTTGTGATGGCGCACACATTTTTCCTTTATGTTAACATATTGAAATGTTTCCCAATTTATATTGGCTATGTCTTGATTTTTGCCAAATGTTGCTTTAAAATAGATCCAGGAAACAGTTATAGTACAATTTGACATTTGACATATGTTGTTCCTGGTATTTTAGCTCACCCAAGTATTAGTACCTGCCATCATAATAAGGGGTAGTATCATATTAAATAGTCATGCCATGGTGAAGAGGTTTGTAGGCAAAGTCATTGCCTGAGAAACTCCTAATAAATGTGTCATCAATCTAACAGTGTTACAGCTGTATGGAAGAATACTTATTAAATGACTCCAAGCACGTTAAGCCTGATACACTCATAGTCGTAAATCAGACTATAGAGAAAGGATGTTGTGTCTTGTCAAGTCTGTGATAATGAGTAATTCAGTGGTATAAATCTCCCTCCCTATATCTCGCTTTCACTCTGAGTATGAGTAACCTTTACCTGTCATACCGTAATAGCTCTGAAAATGGGGCTTCATAATGAAGGGATTTTAAGTGCGCAATTTAGATCCTGAACTCAGTGTTTATTGTCAACGGTATATTGAAGATGGATAAATGGAAAAAGTGCGCAATTAGGATGCTTGTCCTCAGGGTAATTATCTTAAATTAACTAAGTAGAGGTACATAACAGGACCACAGCTTTAATAAGTAAAGAGGCCTCTGCAGACTGAGGTCAGATCCCATTATAGGGGTCCCAAACAAGGTCAAATCAATGGGACCACAAAGGGGCCTTTTTTAAATGATGTAGTCTTAGAAGAAGCCCCTCATTTTGAAGCGCGTTACTCATGTTATGAAGTCATGGACAGCATGGCTACTTAGAGCCAAGTCTGACACAAAGGGCATGTTTTTGCTGCAGTATGTTTACTGGAATATCAACTCACTCCTATAAAAGAGCTCTTGTGCTAAGCTAAACATAGCTGTGCAACCAGTCAACATTCTCTTACTGGAAAGAAGACAGACCGTGCATCAAAAGAACCATTCACACTTTCTGTATGTTTGTTTGTGTTCTTTTTTATGTTTATTTTTTATTTATCCCACTCCTAAGATCCAGATGATTCCCTTTCCTAATTTCCCTTACCTCTTTTCCTCTCAGCCAGCCTGTTGACGTGCCAGAAGTAGAGATGTTTATATCTTTGCAGCCAAAAAAAGGAAACCTCTGTGTGTGCATTCAGTTTTTTTAACAGTATTGTGGAGCCATCAGACAGTGATGTTTCTGTCCTGTCCAGGCAGTGTTTTCTCTCACATATTTGTGGCAAACCCTCTCCTTAACCCTCCTGAGTCTGTCGATCTGCTCCTTCAGCTTGCCCTAAAGCGATGTTAGTTTGTTTCTGTGCAGCAGATGCTTCCCCAGGTCTCCTGTTATGCTTGACTGGTTTGGGCAATTGTTGCTAAAATAGCAAGCAGGTTATATTGGGCAATTGTGTGTCACTGTTAGACTGTGGTAATATGTTTACCAGAATAAATATGTGGTCAACCTTATTAAGCCTTCCCTAAATTAAAATAATAGTGCACTACATATTAAAGGTCTCCTATTATGCTATTTCTAGGCATATATTATGGGTCTCAGCTATATAAAAAAACATGTCTATGATGTGTTTTGCTCAAAATACGAAACAAATCATGCATTTTAGACATCCCTCATATCCCTCTGTTTTAGCCCTGTTAGAGCACTGCTGATTCGGGGTCCTTAGCTTAAAAAAAAATAAGCCGCGTCGACTTTTGAGTAGAGAAAGCCTGAGGTGAAGCTAAGCTATCTAATGATTGTTTCGTGAATATATGATTATTTCCTGACCGAATAGGATTTCGGTCAACTCATCGAGAAATTTACAAACCGAGATACTTTGGACTACTGAATTACTAAAAAAAAGTAGTTCCACATAGGAAGGACCCAGCTTACGATAATAACATTCAGCGAAACCTACTTTCGCAGCCGAATTTACGTTACATTACATTACATTATTTTCATTCTTGTTGGACAGCAGGCCACTTTGCGGGGAGGATGACGTGTTGCAGATAATATACACAATATTATGAAAAATTTGCCCTGTAACAGACTAATATATTAGTATACTCGCCGGCGAAAATTTCAAGCAGACAGCTAGAGGTCTAATTGTCGTAGTACTCTTGATTGAGGCTTGCAGACGCCGTACGAGGTACCGCCTCCGAGCCATCTTTAACGGCCTTAAACGCAAAAGATGGGGGAATTACCAGACCTGTTACCAACTTGTCGTAAAGGCCATCGTGTACTGAACACAATTTCACATATCAGGTAAACTCAAAACGGACAGCACTTACGTTTGGCTTGGAAGACTTTTACTTGTTACATTGTTTGATCACCAGACCACGCGTGGTCTTTTTGACTGATAATCCACACTTACCGTGACACGAAACTAGAGTTTTGTCTCTCCTCCTTCCCAACTTTTAAGAGGGGTTTTTTACAAAATTTGAACGGGTATAAGGGTTTTGGGATGTGAGGACTCTGTAAAAAAGTACTTTTTGTTGTCCTTTTGGACGAGGATCCAACTTTTGAAATTTTTTTTGAATTCTTATTTAATTTTGTTTTACGGAGAACTCCCGTACTTCTCTATTTTTGAGGTGGATCGACGGTTAACTAAGGCGTACAATTTTTTTAGGGCCTATGAAGAAGCTTGTCTCTCTCATGTGCAAATCTCTGTTTGACGGAGAGTAGAAGTGAAAATGGTGTGTTTTGGGGGTTTTTTGTCATAAGTAAAGTAACCCCAGGGACTACGAGTGCCAGACAATTAAAAAAACTAATCCTCGGCTATCAAAACTTGTCCACCGTTTCTACCAAGTCTATAATAGGGAATTACGTTAAGAATTAACTTGAGTCACACGTCGACCTATTGGTACCACACGACCCGTCCTAACTTTCGAAACTA